TCCAAGAAATTGATCCAATCGAAAAAGAGATTCGATGCATTCAGTTCGGAGAAAAGCTTCATAAATGATTGACCCCTCGGATGCCACTTTCGTATCGCCTTAATCATCGCAAGAGGGTAATCAACTTGGTGGGCTATCGCGAGACCCGAAAATGACTTTCTACTCGCCGAAGGTAATTTATGGGCGGGCAAAGATTACGTGCACTTCGCCCTTCGAGTCGCGTTCGTTTGTACCGATGTCTTTATCGCTTTACGAGCCGCACAAAGTGCTGCTCGTTCCACCTCGAGAGCGGTTAGCCATTGTTTATGCGTCTCGTTAAATCAGTCGTCGCCACGGGACCGAGAAGTCATCTCTGACTGCCTTCCGTACATACAATTAGCCGGGAGATGGACGGTTAAGTGATTTTATTGTGCTCGGGATGTACCTATATGTACTCGGTATACATTATCTCCCCCTGAAGCCCGAGAAGGGAATAAAACAGGGGGAGAATCGGTAAATAATTCAGGCGTTTGCGTTTTACGCGGTGATCGACTTATTTGCGAGGCCCGCGATTGAATACCGGGGAACCAAGTTTAAACATTTTATCGGCGCAAGCCAAGGTAGCTCTCGCCATCTCGAAACGCCTTATTTGAAGATTTAATTTTTCTCCTGAATCTCTATTCTTACCGTACACAGTCCCTCCCGTAACCACCAAAGGCAGGGCAAAGAAAATTGAAAGATCGCCCAACCCGCCCTGCGAAACTTTCTTCCTACACCGGTAAACAACTCTCTCCGTGCCCAAGTCACGAGAATAATATCCATAAACAATAAATAAATAAAGCCAGCGAAAGCTAATCAACGGAGGGCCATCAAAGTGCACACTTCTCCGAGCCCCGGGGCCGCTTCTCGCGGTACCTCGACGCGCATTGTAATTCTTTTTTACCAAAGTCAAAGGATTCGACGACCCAACCGACGGGCAACGCAAGGTTCCCCTTCCTCAAAAGTTTCCCTCTCCCGGGGAAAGAGGACGAGACCGTTGCCTAACGCCCCGTCTCGACATCCTTTCACGCCGTGAAATAATTCCCCCCTTTACCTGGGAGCGAAAAAAGGTGAGAAAGGAAAAATAAAAATAAAAATAAAAAAAAGAAGGAAAATTAAAGAAACCAAGGGAAACGAATTTACGGGCTTTCCTCGTGTTACGAAATGAGACGCACTAGTGTGCACCTTCACGGCGTGTATTTTAATTATCCGTTGCACCGGCGGCTCGGTTTCGTTTCCCGGCGATTGCCCGGTGTCATCTTTCGGCGCGAGAATGCAAACGGCGACCCTCTCGCTCGCTCCTCGTTGCGAGAGAACGAGGGAGAACGAGGGAGAACGAGAGAAAACGACGGAAAAGGGGGAAGGCTGGATGAACCACGCGGACTGTTGCGAAGACGGAAAGACCGAATGGCCGAGAGACGCGGAGGGGTCGACGAGGAGGGCGATACACGCGGCGAAGGGCGAGGGACGAGGAGGGGATGATACTCTGGTAATTATGCAGCGGACGAATGCCGGGACACATTCATCATTCGGAGTGTGTTTAATGCGTGCCCGTTAAATATGCGCGCGGGGCACGCTAACCGAACGCTAAACGGTCAAGCCAACAAATTAACGTTAACGCTCTAAATGTCAACGGTGCCGGAATACCGGCGCGGATCGGAAGATCTCGCTTCCTCTTTCGCTGTTTTACTGCCCGGAGACGATTTCAGAGGAAAGAGATAGGAGGCGACGTGAGAGAAAAAGACGGAAAGTCCGCTTTCCGTCGTCAAGTTTCTCCATTAAGGGTCGAACGGGTTCCACGAGGCTCTCGTTCGTCACGATTGCGATAACGGAGGTGCAGGTACTTTGGAAATTACTTACGAAACAGTGAGAAATCGATTATTTATATTAAGTATTGCATTGAATTAACCGAATGAAATTTAATGAATATCGTAAGGGCTCGGGGTAATTTGACGTTACTTTTCTGAAGTTGGTAATAAGTTTTCCTTTATATACGAGGAAGGGAATGTAACGTTCAAGGCACTCGATAGTTTTTAATCGCGAAGGCGCTATCGGAATGTCTTGCCACCTCTGCAATTCTCAATCGTCATAAATGCGTAACGGCGAGATGGGGAAACGCGCGGAGAAATGGGAAAAAATATATATGTATCGAGGATGTAATTACTTTACTTTAACGGTCGAAAGATACCTTTTTACGGTTGATTTTATTATGCGGCCTGATTGGCTTAACTGAATAATAAATTCCCGAGCATAACGACTGCGGTAAAATGTTTAATTACCGCCCGAAGGCACCGGGTGATATTTTCTTCCGATCTGCTTCAAGAAAATGGCCTGCCCGATCGCATTTCCCTTGCGATCGACCTATCGAACGGTCTTGCAACCGATAACTCTCTCGTGTACCGAATACCGCTTTCTTTAAAACGAGATCGCTAAATAATTTCCCTCTTCATTAAAACGAAAGTTAAAGTGTACCCATTAAAACCTCCTCCTCCTCCTCCAAACTAGCGCCACTTCCATATAATAATTCACAAATTAATATATTTAACAAATCACGAGAAAATCACTAACCAGAACATCGCATATATTTTCCAGCCTGGATAACCATCTAGGCTGGGGACTTTACCGCGTAAAGTAAAAAATATGCATTTACGACAACAAAATGAATTTCCTTTACAAAGAAGCCGCGCAAACGGGAAAGAAAAATGGCGTCTTTATAGCGTCTTCCTTCGAGGAAGACTACGCTTGGCACTTTGCGTCCTTACGAGACCCGCGTGCGTAAACATAAACGAATACCTAAGAACCCTGTGAATAAAGGTTGAGATTCAGTAGATGGACGTGAAATACCGGCTTCGCCGAAAACTACCGAATTTGGTCGGAGTCGGTAGCGACGCCCTCTTGGAAAGGCTTCGGATAAAAAGATGTCGAGGTCCTCCGGCATCGAGATCACCGAAAGTCGACGCCGAACCCGACCGAGAGTTACTTTATGACCTCCGAGTCACTTCTCGATACGATTGCGAGGTGGTTCAACTTAATTTTGCAACTTCAACGAATTACGAGGATGTTTTCATTCAATTTTCCTCGATGTGCGACTTAAAATTCCCGGAGAAAGATTTCGAACCTGCCTTGGTAATGACTCTTGCAATTTAAGTTTCCCTTAAATTAAATTTTAACGTCCTGGAGTCGAATAAGTCCTTATATTTAATTCAAACTTAATTTTGCCACCTTTATACAATACCGTATTATATACAAATGTAAATGTAATATCGAGGGGAATCTTCAAAATAATGTGCCGTGAAAAGTTACATACGTAACGAAAGCGCAATAAATCTGATATATCTTACGAGAGTAGTGACGCCATTTTTAGAGTTTACAACGGCAAGTAGAGGTAGGAATAAATTCGCAGTTTCCATACGATAAAGAATATTCTCGGTAATTGGTGTCTTTCCCATACTTTGAACAGGTTGAGGTGCGCCGATGTCGAGGTCGAGCCTCCGCGATGCGGTTGATAATCCTAATCGGATTACTGCACACCCACGTGGGCACCTCGCAATCGTCCTGCATAGCGTTTCGCCTAATCGCAAAATTTAAACCCCAGGAGCCACCCTCGCTCACCTTCTCGAAACCGTTCATTCCTTCATGTTAATTGCACGAGCCTAAATGTTATCTTTCGTTTGAATTAAAAACAATTTCTTCGACTCGTATCTCCCGACGGGAATGAAGACTTTCTCGAATTCGACTTAATTGAAATTAAGACACGTAAAGTGGGATTATTCAATGACCACCTGCGTCCGACCGCCGTCTTCGTGAAATACTCGGTTATTAATTAAGAGGATTACCGCGATGTCAATTTCGTTGGCGCAAAACGATCTCTTCGGCCGGTAATTGCCCTCAAATGAAATCCCGTTGCGCAAGTGAATACCGAAAAACTCGGCTCCTTAATAAACATGAAAGCCGTAATGGGCGCCGTATTAAACGCGCCGCTCCTCGCTCGAAACTGGTTAAATAAAATGTAATAAAAAAAAATGAAAAAAAAATAACCAGTCGTCAATGAAATACCTCGACCTAGGTGTCGTAAATATCTCATCGGAGTCACGGAAAGAAAGGGAAAATTCTTCGCTCGAGTCTTCTCGTCCATTTGTTTATAAATATGGTTTTCTCTCGCCCGCTCAACGCCGTGCCAGGTCTTCTCGCGTTATTATTCCAGGTACGCTTCGGTAAGTGCGTTACAGTCCTTAACATTGTCATTAACGAGGAGACCTTGGGAATTGTGTACATCGTTGGAAAAATGAATGCCTGCAAAAAGCGACATCGTTGCGTGCCTCGTAGCTTCTTGCTAAGAAGGAAATCCCGTTTCTACTCGCTCCTTGGCTTTACTCGCTTCGCTTCAATATATCTCAACGTGGCAAGCTCGCGTGCTGATCTGCGTGTTACCAAAAAAAGAGAGAAAAAACATTAACCAGATTTACGAAGAATCTGACCTAATTCATGAAGTCTGGAAATACACGCAGAAATCGACGCGGAAACCACATAACGCAACGCTAACTCTTTCAAACATTCGTCACGTGAAGGCCGATATTTCAATTCCCTCAAAAATCCCTATACTCGAAATTCTCTCGTTTAACGAATTTATCACAGATATCACGGTACTTGTAACTTAATTCCCGGTAAATGACTCGAAAATCCCATTACCAGTTAGCTAGGTTCCTGACAGTCTGAGAAACTGTGACGAGAAATAGATAGGATACGGTCTAGGGATAAGGGAGCGTCACTATTTACTACGTCGAGAAAACTCTTAAGTTTTAAGTAACGCGTATCTTCCAGCGTCGGCTTGAGAGTCTTTTTTTTTACCCCGCTGAAAAGAGCGTAGAGGAAAAATTCCATTTCCCATCCGAAAGTCAGGAACGTAACCAAGGGATTTAATAACGACATGCGATGGAGAAACAGAGAAAACGTAAGTTTTTTTCTTATTCTTTCTCCCTTACCTAATAATTAGTCCTGGCAGTTTTCCCGCTCCAGAGCACCAAGGGGATGTACACTTCGATATGTTTTCTTTTTTTATCACTGTTCGATATGCCTCACATTTCCCAGCAGGGTTCGAATGTTCCACCTCTCGACGCGCACCCGCCGCGGGAGCGCGCTCGGAAGTCTTGCCTTGCCTTCCGAAACGACGCAACCCATGAAAGGACAACTCGCGCACGCAACCACCCTCACGGCACGCGCGCGAGCCGCAGACTGACAGCCGGTCGGAACGCGACGCGCGCGCGGCTCCGGGCCACGTGACCGCTCGGAACCGGCCCAATGACAGCGCGACGCTGTCAACTAAAGTCCTCGCAATTCGATCCTGAACGAAGAATAGAATGTGGCCCCACGCACCGATCTGACCATAAGGATAGTAGAAATGAAAGGGAAATCCGTGGAGCTTACCAAATACAGAAGACAATCTAAGGGAGAGGTCGATCAGAAGAGGTTAGAAAGGTATGAGGAGACGGAAGCATCTCTACTTTTCCGAGAAATTCTTGCGCAAATGTACCACGTATGTAGTATACAAACCTTGTCAAGACATGCGCGCGCAGCCCATTTCCATGAAAATTTAGAGATGGAAGATCTCTGTCTGCCTGACCTCCGGACGCTTCAAGGTATCCATATACTGTGGCATGTTCTCTATATTTTAGGAGCATAATGGAGAAATCAAAGAGGCTGTTTTCTCTATTAAAGTTCTTCCGTTTCCTTCTCCTTGTTCGCGAGAAACAATTGCGCGGCGCAATATGGCGGCCCCCTGAAAAAAAAAGTTGATTCCATCTAATGCTACGTTCTAATAATCAACGTTTAATTTGGAATAATTAACTTGGTAGCAAGGTTTACGATTAGGAAAGTTTTAAAAATGAATTCGGTATCCCTGGCTGTAGACTGAAACGACAAGAAAGTGGGTTCTGTTAATGTTTAATATAGTTCGCAGTAGTAATAAAAGAAAGCAAATCACAATTCTGTTATTTATAACAATATCTTTCTCAGTGCAATCTATGTAACGATAGACGAGAAAAGGAGAAAGGATGGTCCCTTGTTTGCTCTCTTTCCTTTTCACTGCTTTACGAGAATATCAAGGGAATGGTTAGTTTTACGAGCTCCATATATCCTACGTCCATAGTCCTCCCGTGATTCGATTTTAAAGCCACATAATCACGTTATTAGTATCTCGTGACAGAAGACACGTAAGCAAAATTTAGGCATGGACACATATTGCTAAAAATTATCAAACAGCTTCAGACTTTTGAATCTATGAAGAAAGAAAAAAAAGGCTCTTCCTTAAAGGGTGAAGCTCAATATATCCGTGCCTACGTTGATGTTATGTTCATATCATTATCACTTCGAAATCATGAGCCCGGCAACGAAGTGAATTTCGGAGCGATATCTGGTTTCGTAATGCACGATCCATCACAAATTACCCAACTGACACATTTTGCGAACATCTAGTTTCTTCGTGGCCTGGTCTTCGATGATACATGTCATTCGCTTTGCAGAATACCAGCTGGGAATCATACGCAATTTCCACGCCAGTGACGTCACAATTCAATATGGTCGACCTAGCACTAATTGCATACGCGTGTGATTTCATTAAAACTTAACAAAAAAAAATTGAACCTGATAAGGGATTTTCCTTCGAAGTAACACTCGACACGTATGATCACCAATTCATGTTTATTGATCACGAAACATATTTCGAACGATCTCACAACCATCGAAGAACGTACCAAAAGAACGTCAAACATAGTTTCGCACATTCGGCGGGCTTCGTTGCTCCCTTGTGCAACTTCCTGGTCTGATCAAATAATTTATTTCGATATCCCCTCCTTATAATGCAACTAATATCTCGTAACGAGAACTCGCGGGAAATTGAACGAAGGTTCCAGGAAGGGCTGATTGTGCTTGTCTTTTAATTACGTTTTTCGGGTCGAGATTAAAAGGGTTACTTCGGATTCGCTGTCTTGCCGTGAGGCATAATTCTCCGAATGTCTTGTTTTCAGTGTTTGTTTTCACCGCGTCAAGGACGACAAGTACCACGAAACGGAAAAGTGAACGGAAGGAGAAGCTCTTTCGATCGTATTTTCCCGCGATAAATGAAATTTGGTGTGCGCATAAATGGTATATATGTATATAATCTGTATATAATATAAATAGATAATCGATGCGTCTTAATATTTGGCGTAGATCACTTTTTAAACCTACTCTACGATATAATGCAGTGCACGTATCTTGGGCATAAAATAATATTAATAATAAAAGGTCTTAACGTTAAAAGTAACAACAACGACCGCGTTTGCACAGATCAGAGGCGCCAAGGCGCGACTTCTTTTTACAAATTATAATTAAAAAAAAAAGGAAAGAATGGATAACCGATGATCGGGGAACTACGAACGAATTGTGAAGAGGTCCTTAGAAACTACGATCGGTCGTTCCTCGTTCATATGTACAATTAGAAAAATCAATGGTCGCGTTAGAAAATTAGCGTGCAGTCCCGAAGCGACGAGTGCTTGAGCGACGAAGGAGATATTCAATAGCGACTTCTGGAAAAAATAAATTCACTCTACCCTACCCATTTACAGTCTGATCTTGTGGAGGGACGTTATTACGACTTTCATAAGGCTTCTCTCAGTTTGATTGTACCAGGGATGGGCTCATTCCTATTCAATCGACGCTTCCGTAACGCAAAACGAGCTACTAACCTACGATTATGCGAGTACTCGGTTAATCGCTAATTATTTAACAAATTCATCGGTGAGTCATTCCTCCTCCAACAAGGGCTCGACGGACTGACCGACGGTCGACCGAGTTAAAATTAAAAATACTTATTATCGCACCCCAGATTATAGTTATGTGTCAGAGAGGTTGAATAGAATTTGCCCGGCCGTATACGTTATACATCCCCATACGTCGTTTCCCCATTATTGCTCGACCAGCCCAATAGACTTGCGACATCTTATAAAAATATTCACTCTATCTCTCCCGCGGAGTGTAGTTGAGCAAAACGCGTACCGTACATTTAATTCTAATTGATTCGCCGGTTTATTATTTCGCTCCTCCGCCGCTCAGCTGGAAGCGCGTTTCGCTGGCAAACTTCTCCAGAGAAGGTCCGTGTGCACGCGCACCTAATTTCCTACACGCCTCGAGTCCACCCAATGACGAAACCTACCGTCTTACTGGCTACCTTAATTTACGATTACGAGCTCTAATTTCACCATGGGCCGTCGATTACAAAATAATTCTACGTAAATGCATTTGGCATGTTTCGTTCGCGCCCGATCCGGAACCACACCCACCGGCTACGACCGAAGAATTCAGAAGTCCCATAGAAGCGCAGATCCTATGTTAGCGCTTGATGCTCTAAAATTTGGCTAACAAACCAGCAGTGGGCGTAAAAGAGAGATCGCATGTGTTAGCCAACGATATCTCACATACGGGAGGAAGAGAGACGCATATGGAAAGTCGCGTATTGTGTGTAAGATAAAAAAAGAACGCAATTCACTATATATCGCTACAAGATCAAGAGAGATGGAGAGACAACTACAGCGCCGCCGTCCGTTAGCTAACATACTATTTATCGAGCATCGAATGTCCGTATCCTTCTGGGCTTCTATTGAGCTTCTGAATTCTTTGCTACGACTTCGGCGTCGGCGAAATGGTTTTCGAAGGAACGTTATCGCGATATGACCCTAAAAATCGACAGAGCGTACCCTCTACGGATTTAGCCAGATTCATAAAGCTGTGCACAGTTATCGTATTTACAGCTATTCGTTACGATAACGCCGAATATCGTTTATCTACCGATTTCACACGTCTTTGAACCTTGAAATTTTCGAGATGTTTCGTCCCACTTCGTGCAAATAATAATCTACTATTAGATATGTAAACCTCCATTCGTTATCGTTAATAAATTAAAGGCATAAACAAAGTCTAGATAACAGCCGTTGTACATGAATCCCTTGCGGAAGGTGTTAAGAACAATTTAAACTCGATACGTCGAATGCGAATTCAGGTCCATCCCTTGCAGATTCTTTAGAGCCATGTCGCCTCCCCGTATCACTACTTCTAGTCGGCTTAGAACTATCGTGGAATAAATAAACGCGCTTTTCCTGGAGGAGGCAGTTTCTGGGCTCCTCGACGACCAGCCGAGGATCACTTGGCTTTTGCCAAGGTCGGTCTCTCGACGGATCTAACATGAACGCTTTGTTTAGTCGACCTACTTCTACTGGCTGCCGTGGAGGTCTCGGCGACAGATTTCCGGTGTCTGCCAAGATCCTTCTTATCATTTATGGCCGAGGGTTCCTCTTTCCTTTTATTGCAATCGTTAGTCTTCGCGCTGCCAGGACGGACGTTTTCCTTGGGGTTCCTGTTCACGTCCTTCCCAACTTTGCCCTCGGCCTCGTAGTTCTTCCTCAAGGGTTGCGGGGTATAATACAAACTGAACCTCTTCGGCTTGACTTGCACCTGTTTGTCGTCCCTCAATTCATCCGTGGAGCTGAACTTCCTTACGTCCTTAGCCATGGCTCGAGTGCATCTCCTGCTCGCCCCGTTCCAATCGGGGACCTTCTTCTCGACTTTCGTCTCTTGACTACTCGCAGGGGCGAGTTTCTTTTCCCTGCGCTTAATAGGCTCTCTCTGTGAGCTTTTCGAAGCCTCTTGACCCCTTCCAGGACTCGGTGTATCCTCGGTATGTAACAATGGTTTAACATTTAAAGAGGGCTTCGTCCTTCTTGCAATTAAATTGCTTTGACGCGAACCGCTGGCTAACCTGTTGCTAGTCTGGCCTGCCTCAGCCTTGGTCTCCTTACACCGTAGATTAGAATTCGAAGGACGATCGCCATTGCGACTGTTCTCGTTTACGTCTCTGAAGTCGCGGCTTTCCTGAGTGTTTCTAATTCTGAAGAAGCGGACGTTCTCAAAACTGTCGGAGGACTCCATACTTTGATCCGAGGCCTGCCCATGACTTGAGTGACGAGGATGTGTATTAATAAAACTGTCTGAAGCCTCGATTTCGTTGTCAGAGCTGCCACTGATGCCGTCCGTCGAGGACCAGAACTCGTCCAGGGACTTCCTAAGATCATTGGCAGTTATCTTGCCTTTTCCGGTACCAGCCGCAACCTTGGAACCCCCGTTGGCAGTGGTACCAGGTCCCTTATTGGAAATTCTCTTCCCACTAACCGGCCGTCTAAAGTTTGACCTCGCAGACTTCGGGGTCTCCACGTGGCACAGCATCCTCGAGCCCGGAGGGCTCGGAGTTGCAAACGACCTGGAATGAATGTCGGACAAGGAGTTGCCATTTCTCTTGGCCGCGGAATGTAATTTGGACGTGGAACCGTCACTGTACTCCTGGATGTCCAGGTTCGAGCCTCTGTAGGAAATACTGGGCAACCTGGTGCCGCTGCCTTTCCAGTATGCGCTCGTTCTCTCGGGAATACTGCTCAATGAGGAAGCCGCACTTCGGGAGGATCTTGTACTGCGAGCAGGAACGGGACTGGTTTTGAACTCGTTCGCGTCTGACATTAAATCTCTCACCGATTTGGTCAGGGCGCGAATGTCCTGCAGACAGTCGGCGCTCAAAGACGTTGGCTCCTCTTGGTCTCGACTTTCGATCGCCAGGTCGACCTCGTCGTAGTCGTATTCCAATTTGCAAGGTTTTGCGTTTAACTGGTTCAACTGGTGCAGCTGGCTCAGCTGGTTTAGCTGGTGCACGTGGTTGACTTGGCTCGTCGGTGACGACGAGACGTCCGACCATCTCGCCCTGATGACCCCGGATCCGGTCTGCTCGTCTCCTGGAACATCGGCCCGTCTTTGTTTCTTGTAGTCGAACTCAAAAGTTGCCAACCTTAGCGGCTGACGCTGCTGATCTCCGTATTGCTGCGCCGATTCGGTAACTGTTGCTGCTGCGGGCGGCTCGCCTCCTAGAAAGCTCTGCTGGTGTACAGAGGCGGGACAGAAGAAAAGAAAAGCTTCGCTACAGATACGACAAACCACTACTAAAGCTTCGCTAGAATTGATCCCAGAAGTCAAAGCCCGGGTTGCCAGGGATACGGCTTCATCGGTCTAATTAAGTACTTGAAATTCTTCCTATGCCAAAAAGGAAATGTTCGAAAGAAAATGGTAAACTACTATTTTCTTTTTTTTTTGACGCGTATAATTTAAAAAGAGTAATCGCAATAGATAATTTCATTAATCGACAAAATCTCAAAAGTCACCCTGATTATTATTTAGAAAATTTGATACCTAGCTGGCAACACCGGGTAATGGTACTGTAATTATAGCTTGGAATGTTCCCCGAGGAAAAAATGTTCAGCGCTTCAAATTTAATTTCTTATTCAAATCAGATACAGTCGACATAAACAATCGAATGTAGAATTTCTTACGGCATAAAAAAGTAAATGTTTTGTGATGTTACAGAGTAGGAAATTCATCTGAAATGAAAATCCAGGCTGAGCATATCTTCTTGACGAGAGAACGTTCTAAACTTTAATTACCTGGAGGGTCTCACCTGCATCGCGTCGAGATTCTGGGATGCATGACTACTTTTAGGAAAGAAGTGAGAAAAGAGAGTGGTATAGCAATTTCTACGATAGCATTTTGCTACGACCTTTACTGATTGTGCTACGTAAGAAGAATAAGCCATGCAAAGTAATGTAACATGAGTGATGATGATCTGCTACCAGAAGAAGACATCTAGATCATTTACCGCGAGCCAGGGATGATCGAGAACATCCTCAGCACTAAATCTCAGCTCAGGTTGTATCTGGAGCATGTTTGTTATAAGCTGTTTGGCAGATTCCGAAATGTCATCCCAGTATGGTGAAGTAAACTCGTACTGGCCACTGAGAATCCGCTCGAAGAGCTCTTCTTGTTCGTTCTTTGGAGAAACGAAAGGCGGAAACCCGCACAGCAAAATGTACAGAATTACGCCCACGGCCCAAACATCGATCTGCAAACAAATTATTCTCGTCAATAATATTGACTGACCCTACTTCGAATGCAGATAGATAGGAACACTATTAATAGAACTATCAAATTATGCAAATGAAAGTTTTGTCGAATGTGTCTACGATCTGAAATTTTATCCATAATTTGATAAAATACGTACTTTTCTCATATATATTTTTAGAACATTCAGGATTTTCATTTAAAATTCAAATACAAATTATTAATCATTTCCTTGACTATACATTAAATATCTCTTTATTGTTATTTTTATCAATTCCATTATGCAAATCACCTACACTATACTCTGTACTTTAAAATAATTAATACTTGTCACATAAAACATTACTTGAAGCAGTTAATCGAACACTTTTTACATTTGATTACAAAAAGTAGATTGAGTGATTACCTTCAGTCCATAACCTGTTTCTGCCAGTATCTCTGGTGCAACATAAGTTGGCGTACCGCAAACCGTATACAGAGGTTCTTTTACGACTTGTGCAAGTCCAAAATCTCCCAATTTTAGACATCGTACACGACTTCCTTCCATTTCCACGAGTAAATTTTCAGGTTTGACGTCACGATGCACAATATGATGAGAATGCAAGTAGGCCAAAGCGGAAGTTAAATGGCTAATCATCACGCTGGCTTCAGCTTCCGAAAACTTGGTCACTGCAGCTATTGCATCGAACAAGTCTCCTCCCTATAACAAAGAGTTAATTAGCACAAGACTGGGATATAGTATTTAAAATTACCTCATTATTTAATTAATTAACTTCCTCTTACCTTCACAAGTTCCATCACTAGAAAGAGTTGATCTGTGGTTTCTTGTTCAGAAATGAGACTGATTATATTAGGATGACACACCTGTCGTAAAATCGCCACTTCACTTGCCAACATAGTTTCCTTTCCTTGACACTTAAATTTATCTACGATTTTCATTGCATATTCGACACCAGTTAATCTGGAAAAATATTAGTTATGAATATATCAGAACATAAATAAAATCTTTTTACTAATCTCTGCACTTACTTATGTACACAGCGCCGGACAACGGCAAAATTGCCATCGCCAATGACATGACCAACTGCATAGTGTAATCTCAGTGGTTGCGGTAATATTAATGAAGTGGGACTTGGAGTTCGCACTTGTGGTTCGGTAAGGGCTTTTTTCCCAGATTTTCTTGGCATCCTGGGCATTGGACCGCTCTGCCTCTTCGACACCCATGGACCCTTACGGAAACTCTGTACACATTTTGATTCCTCAAAATCCAATTCAAAGTCTTCCTGTGTAGATTTCTCAGGACCATATGCTAAGAAGACTTCCTCATTTTCAAAAAAGTGCTCTAAGTTTGTAACTTGTTGGCCAGAAATAGCAAAGACCTTTCTGACTGCTCCGGAATCAAGCTTCACAGCATCCGTGATCGCTTCCAGTGCATGCTCTAAACTTGGTGCATTTCTTTTGTTCAACAAAAGTCGGACTACTTTACGAGGTTTTGTACCATGTCGTATGAGAGTTATTATTCGTGCTTTAACGCACTGTGGTATAGCACTTGTCTGCCTTCCTGTAACTGCTGGGGATTGAGGTAGGCCTGACAGAGAACTGCCTCTTCGCACTTTGGATGACGAATATTCAACCTTTTTAAAAATTTCTCCTTGTCCAGAACAGACATAACATTTACCATCTTCCAAATCGCTAATACTTTGAACCTTCCTTCCATCCATGGTATAAATTGCTCGGACGCCATTAGGCAATGTTACGCTGGATATTAAAGCTCTTGTCAGGTCAGATACGAGACTGTCAAAACTGCGATATCTTTCCGGTGTCACAGCAACTACAACTCCCGTATAAAACTTATCACCATTCCTAAAAAATCTGACTCGTTTTGCTTTTTTTGCTGGCGTAGTTCGCAATACATTCAACGAATGTCGTGTCGATATATCCAGCAATCGATCGTCCAATGCTGTCACAATTGTCGCAGGGTTGATTTCTCCACCTCCAGAGAGGCAGCTGTCACCAGATGGCGAAGCACCTCGATTTAATGGTTCCTCCATCATTCTATTTAAATAAAACACAAAGTTTAAAACACATGCTTTCACAAATAATAAATATACATAACGTTCACATAATTTCCCAGTTTGAGCTCAAGGTTACTCCAAAAACTAAAACTTTGCCCACCAAGTATGTCGATGACCATAAGAAAGCACCACACCTGATGTCACCCTCGTTTGCAGTCAATTATTCCAAGCAGCATACACTCAATGCCTAAAATGTTTCGTATTTCTCGGAATATCCATAAACGTTCAAAAACATCTAAATTCGGGAAATAAAATTTCTTTAAAAGATCCGAGCTTATTCAACCAAAGCCGATTATAATCTGCGTTCCTCTCCCTGAATTCCCCGTCCTAATCTTAATCTGCAACGAAACAATTTCTCTCCAACAAGTCACGCAATGGATTCAAATCAATAAAAATAAAATCGAACGAAATTGACCATGTTCTGACAGTTGATTACGCCGGCGATAAGGGGAGGAGTGGCCTAACCTACTTAACCTCACTTTACGGCTCCGTTCGAATTCCTGCGCACTTGCTCCGTTTTCTGAAGGATTTAGGGGATTGTTACGTCGCTTAAGGTCTTTCGATACTCACGTTGGAGCTGCCGAAAGGTAATGAGTGAAAGGACTCACCTGTTCGTCGAGGACAACGAACTCTCGACGTGAACGGGACGAGCAGGAACGGAGTCCGAGTGAATCACCATCCAGCTGACATTTTCCTGGCAGCTCCACTCCCCGCTGAAATCTTAGGAAACATGAAAAAACGGCAACGAAGCGGAATTGATACTTCTTTGAGAGTTTCCTTGTTTCCCGGTCCTCGTTCAAATCTCTCTGGCCGGCGAGGACTTTTTTGATCTTAAAATTTATTGTAGGACAGATGCGCCGAATAATACTGACCTGCCGAATCGAGAAATAAAAACTTGTCAAAGCCGAGCGGATGCGGAAGCGCATGGGGTCACGGAGAAAGGAGGGAAAACAGGTAGAGAATGCTGACTCGAATTTGAATGATTTTTTACAGGAAAGCTACTAACAAAATTAAGGATTAACTTCGTCTTGGTTTCTATCTAGGTGTTTTAAATTCTCCGCAAAACAAATAATCTGATAGCTTTGACCAAATTTGTTCTTTACGTTTTTTTTATAACTCAGAACATTTTTTTTCAAAATTCTGTAAAAACCCACGGAAATTCATTAAATCTGTCTAATTTAGGTAAGTAATTATTAAATATTGTAGCCTACCGTAAAATTAAGTCTTCTCATGTTTACACACGGTACAGGGTATAGAAAATATTGATAGTGTTATAAATCAAATCTTTGATGCAGTAGCTTTTGAAAAGAATAATTCTGAGAAAAAATAAATAATATATGACTTGATTTAAAACTTTGTTATATTTATATAATACTTAGTCTATAATGTATGCACATATTTAAACATTTTTACTAGATCATGATTCATACAATTGCCTTTCAGTGACACATTACTTGTTTAATTTTCCATATCTTTCTTTAAGTACCGAATTTATTGTACTCTGTATTTTACAATTATAGTCACGTTCTCCTATGATCTTTATTTCGAGACATTGAATAAATACTTTGGCTTGTATTAAGTCATCCAGAGTGAGTTCTTTTAATGGTTTCTGCCCTAATTCAAAATCTAGACTACAATACCCTATCACTGTTACATAATCATAAACTTCAAATCGCTTTCCCAATAATCCATTTTCGGTTTCCATCCACCAACCATGTTCCAAGATCTGTAATGAGAATTGAAAATTCGAAAATTATTAGTTCTAAAGAAATTTAATAATAATAAAAATGTAATTTAATAATAAGACATTAAATTCTAGTAAAAATATTTACAGCTCTATAATATTCTGGTATCTTTAAATCACATTTATATGGTGGCCGATGTTTATGAAACGAAACATTTGATCCACATTTAGGTATCTGTTCTTGAAGCCATGGTTTCTCTTTTGCAGCGAGAAGCATAAATTGGAAATGTTTCCAAGTGAGGTGTGCTCGCTTTTTTTCCTGTTCTGAGTACTGGCTTTTTTTACATACTACTAGAATCACTCCTGTCCCATCATCAACTATGAAATATAGTACAAGAAAGTTACAATGTTAATACAAAAGTATATTAATAAACTGCATTAGTCCTATCCTACTGGTTGATTATATTTACCCATAAATTCATAAAATTTTGGCTTCAGGATTATGCTTCTAATTCTACCAATTATTTCAACCTTCCGAATTGTCAGATCGGGCATGTTAATCGGATGGAAATGATAAAACTTCTCATTTAGGTAAGGTACAAATCTAAATATTTCAGCAATAAGAACTGGCATGCATGGGTCTATAAGAACAAATAATATATTTAATACCTTAATAATAATATAAAATATTGATGAACTGAAAATGCAAATCTATATTATACCCGATAACAAATATATTAAATGGACACATTCAAGTGTAAGAAAGATGTCATACTTTTTGAAATATACTTACAAGAGGCTGTATCACCAGTCCATTGTTTTTCTTTGAAAATGCATAGCTGATTATCAATATACTCCTTATCCTCAGAAATCGTTAAATCATTGGGACTTTCTGAATTGAATGTCATACACATGAAATAAAATGCCCAGATATGGTTATATCGTGTTATTTTATATTAACTGCATAAAGAACCTGTGATATTTAAATATCCTTTCATTGTACTTACTACGTAACCCATCATCAGTAGAATGTGCTTTATTGTTGATACCAGGATATTCAATCTTGTAACCATTTTCCTTCAGAATAACAACGCTGTCATTGGTATTACCTTTATCAAATATTAAATATTATCGTATAAATTAACAATATTAATATCATTTAAATATATTACAATCTCAAATAATGTATTAAAAATAAAAATACACATTTTCATAAAACAATTTGTTCAACAATATACGTTCTAAAATTACAAATAGGATCATACTCACAAAATATTGTATTACTCCTACACTGTTTTTCATCTGAATTAGGCTTCTCGTTAATATCAACTCCATCTTCAATAATTACAACGCTGTCACTGTCATTGCCTAAATTTATTTTCAGGTATTAATACGTAGTAATAACTCTAAATCTTTACACTAATATAAAACAAACTTCAAAATAATTCTTTGGAAATGAATATTAAACGCATTGTAAAAACTAATTAAAAATATTACAAACATGTACCTACATGATATATTTTCAACATATTGTTTTTTAGCACTCGCAGAGTTTTGGCAATTTTCGACAAAAATGACATCTGTATCGTTCGATAAAATGACATCTGTATCGTTCGATAAAGTGACATCTGTATCGTCCGATAAAATGGCATCTGTATCATCCGATAAAATTCCATCTGAATCGTCCGATAAAATGACAAACCTATCATCCGAAAAACATAAATCCATTTTCATTCATCGATAATATCAGATACTTGCTACAAAACATTATTTTATTTTACAAAAATATTTTCAAACAACTCTTGGCGCTAAGCTGCAGAAAGCATCGAAAATAAATGTATGGAGACAGAACAATCCCAAAAATAAATGGTGAGATTATTCACATACGCCATCTACCACTCTGGACTGCTGTTTGATATCAGCAGAGATGAGCAGGGAGATGTCTCACCAGAGATGAGCTGGGAGATTGCTCACGGGCAGGGTCGTGCGATCACATCCTGTGCTGCCCTCTGGTTTCGTACGTTAGCTTTCACCGTTTTTTGCCCCCAAGG